GAAAGACATCCTGGTGTAGGTTTCACCCTTGACTTTCCATCTCTCAAATTTGTATTTTTTCCCTTATTGAAAGCACTGCTGAAACCTTACTCATGGATCTCTATTCTGCGTTCGTGACAATTTTTTGTCTATTCACTCTGTGGGCTAGGCAGATTTAAATGTAATAGCGTGAAGTAAACAAAACTAAAGGATATTGAGAAATGAAACTGGCGAGCTTCGGTCCATTTACAAGTTTCGTTCTGTGGATTAGCTTGTTTACTTAGAGACATCATTTTTTAGCAGGCATTGTCTGGCGAACCAGTCCACTCTGGCTTTGATTTTTTGCGAACTTAAATCGGTCCTTGATGTGATGAATAATTCGTATTTATAATTTAAATTGTTGACTGCTATGAAGTTATTTGCTTTTAAACAGAATTTTCCTTCGTCACTTAGTGATCTTGCCTGCTTGGCCTCAAAAGATCCACTAAATCGCCATCTCTTAGGCGCTAAAATCATCAGATGCAGGTGTCTCCCTGGTTATTTTCCAATAAACTATTAAAGCTTGTCACTTCCTCCACAATTTTCGCAGCAATTGTTTTAAGTCATTCAATCATGGAACTCCATTACATTTTGTCCCGTAATTTTGTTGTTGCATTGCTCTCGTTATGCGTTCCATTCTTTCAGGCTTAAACCAAGACGACAGCTCAGCGGCCAGGAGGGATGGCATGACTTTCTCGGCCAGCAATTTTTCCAACCAATTCTTTACTAACCTCCTTCGTGAGGATCAGGTAAGCATCCTAGTTCCTTTATTTTGCGGATTTTCATTTGTGTAGATCGGTCATTTTACCATATAATAAACTGCTTGGTGAGTCATTCTACTTAGCTAACGTCAGAGGTGGAGCAGTGCTTTGTGATTTATGTATCGCCCTGAAGTTTCAACTGTTTGTTCGTTTTGTATCTGGTGTTGCCTACCCAGTGTTGCTTTTTGCACCTAGCACTTTTTACATCTGCTCCTGTAAGGGAGCAAAGATGCTGATCATTTCACCTATGAGGATGTAAAAAATTGCTTGAATTCGGAGGCGTTCTGGTGCGCTAAGTTGCTCGATAACATGCATTCCCAATTGGTTCTTCAAGTCCAGATCCTAATTTAATTACTTTTAATTTGATTAATGGAGTTTTTTGGATCCTTCTTCATGGTCACGACAGCTAAAATGGTTTGTCCATAACCGTCTTTTTGCTTGTTCAAGCTCTGTCACCATTCCGAGGAATTGTATGGTTGTGAGTCAAATGCATGTTCGAGACCGAAATGTTCAAAAAGCTTGCACCAAACGCGGGCTGTTTCATCATCCACATCCTAATTCGCCCCTTTTCTGCGTACATTGCCTTCTTTTTCATCCTCCACACTGCTTAGAGCAGAAAATATAAATCACGAGTTTTGTTTTATTCCGTTTTTGCCTTTTTCTTCTGCCGTTTAAAGTTAGGCTTTCAGCATTTGTGGGCATATGCGACTGCTGTATGTTCCTCTATTTTTGAAATGTT